GTGCCCTTTACAAAAGATATGGGCATTGGAAGAGAGAGTGCCCACAAAGAAGAGGAAGACAAGGAGGAGGGAGCCCTATCAGGACCCTCCACCTGGGAGAAGGAAACTGATGGGGACGAGGCTTGGCACCCCTCCCTGAGTCTTGGGTAACTCTGTGCGTGGAGGGGACTCCCACTGGGTTCATGGTAGATACTGGGGCACAATATTCAGTTCTCAATCAAGCTCATGATCCTCAAAATCCAGGACACACAAGCATAGTCCAAGAAGCTACAGGAACTAAGAGGTGCGCCTGGACCACCAACAGGAAAGTGGACTTGGGAAGGCATCAGGTTTCCCACTCCTTCCTGGTTGTGCCTGAGAGTCCCGCACCTTTGTTGGGTAGAGACTTACTCATCAAGATCGGGGCACGTATCCATTTTGAGCCTAAAAGGATAAAAGTCATGGACTCAGAAGGACAGCCCCTGCAGCCAGTACATCTGTTGTCTTTATCTCTGACTGATGAATATCACCTATTCCCAGCGTCTCTAGAAAAGGGGGGCCAGGGAGACATGAGCTCCTGGTTGCAGGAGTTCCCTTCCACCTGGGCCAAAACTGGGGGAGTCAGCTTCGCTAAGCACCTGCCCCCGGTTGTGGTCCAACTCAAAGCCACGGCCCTGCCCATTCGGGTCTGGCAGTACCCGATGCCAGAAGAGGCTAGGAAGGAAATAGTGCCTCACATCCATAGACTGCTAGAAGTAAAAATCCTTAAACCCTGCCAGTCAGCATGGAATACACCCCTGCTTCCTGTGAGAAAGCCTGGCAGTGGAGATTACAGACCGGTGCAGGATTTGCGAAAGGTAAATGAAAGGGTAGAGGACATTCAGCCCACGGTGCCCAATCCATACACCCTACTTAGCCACCTGCCACTGTCTCATGTGTGGCATACCACCCTAGACTTGAAGGATGCTTTCTTCAGTGTCCCTCTCGCTGAAGTCAGTCAGCCCTTGTTTGCCTTTGAGTGGCAAGAACCAGGAGGGGGGAAGACAGGGCAGCTCACCTGGATCAGACTGCCACAAGGCTTTAAGAACTCTCCCACCTTGTTCAATGAGGCACTAAGCCAAGACCAAGACCTGGAGCCTTTCCGCAAAAGGCACCCCCATATGACTCTGCTGTAGTATGTGGATGACCTGTTGCTGGCTACAGCAACCCGTGAAGAGTGCATGGAAGCTACGAAGAACTTGTTGGCCGAACTGGGCAGCCTGGGATATTGGGCCAGCACCACAGCTACGAGGAGCATGTTGGCCAAACTGGGCAGCCTGGGATATTGGGACAGTGCCAAAAAGGCGCACATCTGCCAGAGGTCAGTGGTTTACTTGGGGGACAAGATAGCGGAAGGGGCCAGATGGCTGACACAAGCCATAAAACAGACTATCCTGTGCCCTGACCTGCGGAGCAACAGCGTGGGGCACCGAGACTGAACCTGGAGGAATGAATAGACAGGGGACACGAAGAAATAGAGACAAGACGACAGTATTCTGATCAAGTCTCATTTATTGAGCAATCACACAGTGTTAATATAGTAAAGTGGAGGGTGGGGGAAGGTAAAGGGCAGAGAGAAGGCAGGGAGAGTGGAAGGTGGCAAGGCCCTGCTGAGGAATTTCCACTACAGTCATGAGCCCTGGTGGTTTCACAAGATAAGGAAGTAAAATGTAGTAAATCAGGGCAAGAAAAACATGTTTTTACAAGGCCACCTGGTTGTTTCAAACTGGGGCAGGGGTACACTTAAGGCTTGGCCTCCAACATCTCCTCCCTTCTACTTTAATAAAGGTAGTCCAGACTCCTCCCGTGAGAGGCTATAGTTCTCACAGTTTTGCTCTTGGTACTTTTGGGGAGGCGAGGCAGAGCAGTGAGGGACCTTTGGGTCCCTGCCCGGGTGACTGCACCTGTCTTAGGTTAGAAGGGATCTCCCCCAAATCATACACCTGTCATGGGATGAGGCCGCAGCTTTGGCGGCCCTCCTGTCTTAGGTGTTTTAGTGAGGGGGCCACTTCTCTTACCCGTCTCTGGCTGCCAGTCAAGCTCGGCGGGCAAAGGTGAATGTACCAACCTCATGCTAGTCTGGTTATAAATGTTAGGGAGTTATGTTA